AATCTTCTAGCATCGATGCCAAACATTCAGTAAAATGTGTTGAGCTTTGGAGTATAGAAGTTATTTGATCTTGCTTTCGCAACTTGGTCATATTGGTAGGAAGGTGCAGAAGAACGCACCTGGCCTGGAGTCCATAGTATGCATGATAATTTTCAGATTCGAACCGTGAACTTGGTACATTCCTATGTTTTTATCCGGCATCGTTAGTGAGCCGTACAGTCTTAGCACACCACTACAACTCGTCACAGAAACAAGTGAAGTAGATTCTTTGATTAATTGTCTGCTAAATAGTTGTTCCAGGGTAGTCATCTCTTCTATATCCTCATATCATCCTTTTACTATCACAATTTCTTAATTATGATACTCTGGTATGGTGTGTCCTTTCATGAGACCTCTTTACACACCCCCTAGCTTTCTCACCCTCATCCACCCACCATTGTGCTGGGTAGGTCTGTCATAGTCCAATAGATCCTATCAGAATCTCCCTCTTGCCCCGTTAAATTTGTCTCCTATCTCCCTGGATAAGTATTTCACTCGACCCCTGCCATATTATGTGCTACTCGAGGCGTTATTTCTCACATTCTGCCTCAAGCCTTTGATGGCGCGTATACTCCCGCCTCGATGAGTAGGCCTACAAAGTCTGGATTCTCAAGCTGGATGGAAGATTAACTTGAGGCTATAGAGCCCGAGTTGTTCTCATGGTCAAGCCTTTGCTTCATGGACCACGTCTATGACCAAACACGTCTACTGTTAGCAAGCTAGCTCTAGTCTCCGCCGCATCTATCGTGGTTCTATCCATAGTGCCATGACTGATTTTTATGCCATAGTCTTTGTGTGTCAAGCCACAAATATTATGGTTCTGTATTGAACCTAATCAAAACAAGTAGAACCATAACATTTGTGGATTGGCATAGGAAGTCATAGACTTACGAATAAAGCACTATAGACGCGGCGGAGACTAGAGCTAGTTGGCTAATATTAGACGTGTTCGATCATAGACGTGTTCAATGAAGCAAAGACTTGGCCATGTGAATTTATCGGGCTCTTTAGCCTCAAGTTATTCTCCTATCCATCTTGAGAATCTTTATTTTTAGGGGCATACACAGCGAGGCGGGAGTATGCGTGCAATCAAAGGCTTAAGATGGTGTTGGAAATGACTCTTCGAGTAGTACATAAAGGATAGCGGGAGTCGAGTTAAATACCTGAACCAGCAAGATTAGATGCGGATCCTACGGGACAATAGGAAAACTCTGATAAGTCCTATGGGAAGAGGATTGCGGTGTGAGGGGGTGAGAAAGCAAGGGTAGGGCGTGAATGGTTCTTAACTCCGCTAAAAAAGAGAACACCATACCACATTTAAATAAGATATCGTGATAGTGAAGGGGTGATACGAGGATAAAGGATAAGTTAATAGCCCAGGGCAGAAGGGAAGATACCACAACTGTTTAGCCCACATTTGGTCAAAGGATCGGCTTCACTTGTCTGTTTAACGAGTTGTAGTATGGTGCTAAGAATGACAGGACTCACTGAAGATGCCGACTACGATGCCAGCGAAGCGTCTGAGAATGCACCACGTCGACGGTCCGACTTTGGAAATTAGCATGCATACAATGGACTCCGAACTAGGTGCGTTCCTCTTCGTCTTCCTACCAATATGGCCAAGTTGCGAAAACAAGGTCAAGTAACTTCTACAGAAGGTAAGGAAACTGCGACCATACAAAAGGCAACACCATCTTGCTCTTCATACCTTGGATTGAGATATTGAGGTTTTCAGCTAATAAATTCAAAATAATGGGTAAGATAGAAAATATAATGCTAGTTAAGAATTAAGCCTATCAATTGGGTTAAGCTATTACGGGCTGTATTTTTGTAATGGCTATTTAAATCATAGCGATCAAAGCAAAACGAATAGATTCTGATAGCCTTTGATGAGGAAAGATCAAGGAAAACATCACCGGAATTAAAATTCGCAAAGACAAGCAGCAGCACAGACAGAGAAAATAATGATATGACCTAGACGTTTGAATACTTGGTTCCCAGAGTAGATTATGAGAGTTGATGAGTGACAGGTTGTTCTTTCTAATTTTAGTCATGTAAATGTAACCTAAAAAGAGGTGCAAAGGTCTATAGGTCCATTAGGTGAAGAAATGACTAATAATAGCACGAGATAAATGTATAAAGACCAATCTTTAAAAGGATATAAAAAATTTACAGCTAGGCAAAATATTATGGAATAATTATAAACTGACAAAACAACCAATATAGTGAGTATGAGGAACGTGCGCAGTAAATTAAGAAGGAACTACCTATAGTTAGTAAATAAAATTAAAGAGTAATCAGAACACGTCTTGGTTCATTGCCCTGCGACCCGAGTGGAGTCGTGCTAAACGTTCGTCTGGGAAGTGCCAAACATCTTCCGGACTTAAGAAGAATGAGCGGTTGAAATCCTATTTCGTATACCTATCCTTGTTATCTTAATAAGGCATCCCGTGATTAGATTGGCTATTTCATGCCCACCCTACACATGTGCAGATAAGTAAAGTTTATGCATGAAAAGAAAGTGGATGTAATCATAGCAGTTACTGACGCATATAGGCCGGCGTTTGATGCTGCAATAGTGACGTTTATTTTAGGTACGCAGCACTCATGAATAAGTTGATAAGTTAGAGACAAAGCAGACGCGAGATTAGCCAATCCTGCTCTTAACAAGTTACTCCTGTAACCCATCCCTAATTCTATCTAATAGCTAAAGGTAGTTTTTGCATATTCTCTTTCACTCGATAATCCTATTCAGGAAGTTGCTCATTTTGTTACTTTCATAATCTTCCGCTTGGCTCTGAAGTCTTCACAGCCTAAAAAACAGTAGGTTTTATATCACTCTATCTAGTATATTACCGTGTTCAACTCAATATTTTTTAATAAGCCTCTGCAAGCGGTTTTGCCATTAAAGGTAAAATATGTACTATTCATTACTAAGTTCCTCAATCTCAGAATGATTTAGTACCATCCTCCTTACCAGAAGATAAGTGTATAATGGCACTACCAAAACTTACAAGCAAATCTTTTAGTGCAAATCTACTAGTCTGATAGTCACAAGAATTTTTATTGAAAACTTATAAAATTCGGAGAACAGCTTTAGAAGACTAAAGCAAATTGTGGTGATTTATGCATAACGTTAACCTTTATGCTCACAATGATCTTAAGTGGGAGCAATGCCAATAACATCCAGAAATTGTTAGGTGTTTGCATGAGCAACTAATGCTCATTTGTCACTATCTATCTTCATTTAAAAATAAATACTATTGGTAAATAGATAGCAATAAAGTATCTAAACTGCTGCTAATATAAAAGTAATCATCCATTTATCTAAACAACAACTTTGAAATCAGGTTTATGCCTCCCATGAACGGTCCTCGATTTCTAATGCTTAATTGTTTAAAAAGATTAGGTCACCGTAGGTCACGTAAGGTGACTTATTGATACCCGAGTAGTGCTATGGTAACGAGTCGCTACACTGAACACTATCCACATTTTGAAATCCGTTGGGAATTCTTGGATCAGGACTTTAGTCCAACTCGAATTGGAAAACCTTTTGAGAAAGAAGGCCAAGTGAAATTTAATGGTATCGTGAAGCGTATTCATAGAACCCGGAAAAAATCCTTAAAGCAACATGAAACGTTACTCATGAATTGAAGGTAATTCCAAAACATAAGCTAATCTAAAATATAAAATTATTAGCCAAAATTGGAGGAAATGTGTACCGAATTGCAAGACGCCAGATCTGTTCATAAGATCTACTGTTAAGGATGAAGTAAGTGCTGTTAATAGAAGACTCAAGTATTCTTAAAACTAAGCTTAAACTTTAGCTTGCCATCTCCATACTTTCTGTGTATGTTTCGAGACTAAGAACTGGAGTATAGCTTTCTGAACTGAAATATTGAACGACAGTAAATTTTCGCAAACGTTAAGGTTGCCAACAACGCAATAGGAATTTTAGCTCAATGCTAAGGCTACATTCAAAGCCATCGTTTCCTTTAGGAATTCAGCTTATGAGCTCCCAGCATTATCCTTTTGTAGCTATCTTGGGCTCTTTTTCAAAAGGCCTTTTCCTCAATCTACTCATCTACACCAGGGCCAAAAATAAATGCACCTACTTACTGAGAATTATTTTTTTTACAAGAAAGCAATATCGCCTTCTTGTAGAGAATATACACGTGAAATTGAAACGGATAAAAATTGATAAGTCCAATGCCATGAAGATAAATTCAAAATATGCTCAAACTAAATGATTTCATCATATTTCATATGCAAATATTTGTTAGAAAAAATTAGTGAATGTACGAATAGCGTTTAAATTTAAATTTTACTATCCAGGTGATACTTCTTACATGAAAAAAAGATTGAAATTTAGGCCAATTATGTGGTTAAAAAGGCATATTACAGTAGGTGGCTCTCTCATGACTTCAAGAAGGTTTTTTACCGAGCAAGCCGATAATCCTAGCCGAAATAGAGGCCGCGAAGAAAGTGATGGGGCATCAGGTCTATAGCAGAAGACAGCAGTGTGGCTAGTGGATGCGAGGCGTGCCAGAGAAGTAGAGGGCAGCTGTGTTGAGCTGACAGTGCCATTGGGCGCCATATAATGACGCCAAGCGATCCACTCTTCACGGCCACAGAAAATTAAATCTGCTCGCTGTGGCCAGACCACGCGGCCACCAACACCTGTATGGTAGGGTAACCACGCCGCCTCAGCCATCATTGGATTGCAGGAAGAAAAATCGTCGAGGTCCCAAAGACGTAAATATCGATCTAGGCCTTTTAGGAAAAAAGGAATTCTGTAAGAATTCAATAATTATAATTCTGATAGATAAAGATCAACGCCTTTTAACGAGATCTACTAAATTCTGATGTAGACACTCAATACCAAAGATGTATTTTCCTGTGAAAAATACTAGCCCCGAAGAATGGGCCTCCGAAATGTTTCATGAAGAGACCTAGATTGCTCAAAAATCAGGTACTTTCTTAGGACTTAATAACTGAATGCCATGATAGATTATTTTG